TTTTACTTTATATATTAGCAACATATTCAACAGCATAAATATGTTTCCAGTGGTAATAACCGTAAAAATATGTTTAATTAAAGCTCGCGTAATTGAATTCTAAATCGCGAAAAAATATTCAGAAAATTCTTTGAACACGGATATTCGTCTTTTATATTCGTTTTATACACACTAATAAACAGTGTAAATTTAAATCTGTACAAATGGACAAAGATAGCTCGGAATGTAAATTTCTTTGAGTAGCAATACGAATCTTCCAAGTACCTTGCCGTGCCTAAACTTATAATTGAATTTCAAATCCTTAATTGAATAGCAACAGTCAGACATAATGATTAGGAAATTTTGTGATTGCACTTTATTCTGGAATATGAAAATTATTCTATTTCAAATATGTGTAAACGTCATAATAAGTTATATCAAAAAATTATACTTAATAAATCTCAACCGATGTTTACTAAATTTTGCTTGGAAGTTTAGAACTCTTTTACGAGCACTGTTTCACAGATTACAATTGAACAACAGAAAAAAAACTAAACAAAATAAAACTGAGAACCTTTTACATAATTTGTAGGTACTATTATTTACTATTATCTTCTTCCGCCTGTATATTCTCTCTTCTCTCCGCCTATATATTCTTCCGCCACTTCTTCCAGCGCCAACGCCTTCCGAAGTGGTAAGAATGATAGCCTTAGAAATTTTTCTACCGATCGGCCCTCTCGGGCACCCACGAATCGGAATGCTAAACGGGAATTGAGTGACAGCTCAAGCCGATGTCACCTCACGGGGGCCCTTTAGCGATGTCACCCATAAATCGAGGTACAGGCTAAGCGCCACCTCAAGGCCGGTGAATCTGTAAAGGCCCCTGAGGCCAACAGTGGTTGATCCAGAAAAAAAACGCGTCATTGTCGTCGCCCCCTTAGTGGCCCCTAAAGAAGTTTTCCTTCAATAATTGCAAAGGTACAGATACAAAAGGTTACATAGGTACCTACTCTTATAAATTGAAGTTCTTACTTATACGTAGCGAGTGCCAATGTAGTTATTTATTAACTTTTACTTTTTTCGTTATTAAGATTTCTAAAAAAATAATCTGATAAAGATGCAACGTTTATAACTTTTTAAATTCCAATACATTTGGCTCAGTTTTTGAATATTTTCGAAGCACTCGCTTTTAATCAACGTGTAAATCTAATAAAAACTATAATTGACAAATACACAACAATTCGTCTTCATTGTACTATTGAAAATAATACTGAAAGAAAATAAAACTCTGTAGGAGACAAAAAGAAATTAATTTAATTAATTTAATTTCTTTTGCATAGTATTTTATTTCATAACCATACCATGTGAATAGCATAAAAGATACTTAGGTCATTTTATACTATTCATTAATTCCGAAATGAAAACAATAAAATCACGCACAATCGTGAAATTCGGTTTGCATCTCAGTAGGCGGTTTTAAGAATTATGTTATGGTTATGTCTATGTCAAACGTACCATGATTGGTTTCGTGAGTAAGATTTGTTTACAGTGTGTAAAGTTACACTTACGTAATCTTTTTTGTTGTTGATTTAATTAAGTTATCCTTTTTATGCCATTCAAAATTTGTGAAAAGGTACGAAACATCTGAATATATGTTATCACTCTGTTTGTCCGGTGATTTTTTAGCGTGAAACATATTTCTATAGTATAAAATATCATTTGATTAGATACTAGTCTAGATGGCACATTTAACCTTACCAAACGGAGCAAATAGTCTACTAAAATTGGTAGACCCCCTTCTCACTTCATCATCATCATCATCATTTCAGCCTGTTTGAGTCCACTGCTGAACATAGGCCTCACTTATGTCAATGTAATTTGAATCACCTATGCATAACGTGCTCACGAAAAATAATTGATTATGCTGGTTTGTGCTGTCTAATTGTATCGCAATTATATGGGATCACTTTTTATCCATAAGTTTTGTTAGTTAACCACGATTAATTTAACAAAACACGTTTTTTTTTTAATTCGTTATTTCGTAGGTCAGTCTGGTTAGCCGGTGTTGTCAGTTTATTACTGGAAAGTTTTGAGGAAACTATGGGAGACAAAATACAAATATCATTACATCATCTTTCGATCAGACATTATTATTTTAAAAATTATATTATTTATTTGGTGCGTTAAAGATAACTTACCTACACAAAATAAATAGAACCTATGACGTCTTGCATGAATTACAGGTTGCGCAGAGAATCTTTAAAAAATGATTTAATTTAAATATAGATTTAATAAAGGTCTTACAAAAGTCCTTAACTAAGTTTAATGCTAATTGCTTAAGACACTAAGGAATGTGTAATCGGTCTGAAGTTAGGATGACGAAAGGCGCCGCGCCCTTGCCGATGGACGATTATATTGAAGGAAGCTCCGGTCATTGCGCAATTGATGCATGTGCAATAAGGCCGCGGCCACTACCATCGGTGACTGGTTCCGGCAATGGATGATCAAGATCAATCCCGCCAAAAGTGCGGCCGTCCATCACGCACAAAAAAGTGCCCAATCCCCCATTCGTTAATGATGACTCCCACCCGAAAATATCCCTTCGCATCAAGGACTTAAATCAAATCATGGCGTAGTGTACTATCGCCACGCCAAGACGTGTTTTGTTCCAAATTTAATTTTTTTGTTATTATTTTAACAAAGTAACTGTACAGACTCGTGGTCCGTACTCTTTTTTGATTAACATGTCATTTTTTATTATATTTTTTTCTTGGGCTGTCACCGCCGCGTACATCAACCGGGCTGGTAGCGGTGCAGCAGTGAGTTCATATTTATTTATTTATTTATTTTTATTATTATTATTATTATTATTTATTTTTTAATTCCTTTTTTTTTCTTTTTTTCCTTCATAACTATATAAAAGTACATATATATGTATATAAAATAATTAATTTATATATATTTTTGATCTGCACAGTTTTTGCTGTAGGAAGAATGGACGGAGATCTCGTCGTCGCAGGTTATTTGGTAATAGGTATTATTTCTTTGTTAGGCTCTCTCCGAATTTAATTTAGGAAATCATCGATGGCGTCGATGGGTTTAGGGGAGACCCAGATTTCTACGTAAATGGTGATTTCACACCCGATAACGATTTTTAGTGTACCGAATGATATAACTGATCTTTTTGCATAAACAAATTATTAACTAATATTTGTCTTTTTAATTTCAAATTTATTTTATTATACACATAAAATATACGTACTTTTGGAACATTGTTGCAAAATGATTAGAAATGATGGTTCATACAAAAAACAGTTTTGCAAAAATGTTCCGATATCATTTTTCATAATTCCCTACCATTTTAACGTAAATATGATAAAAAATGGTACATGATTCGGTAATGACCATATTTTACTACGATTTTACCATTATAATTTGTCAATACTAGTTAGGGAAAAAAAGTGTACCAATGAAATAGTAAATTGCGTTTCTCTCAAATTGTGATCATTGTGGAATGAAATGTTTTTGCATAACTACGTCCAATTGCTGGAAAGACATACAGCGAACATCAATTGAAAGTCCCGAATACAACATGTCTGTGTCATTATCAATAATCACCACAGATTTTATATATTCAAATAGTAAAACGTAAAAGTTCAAAAAAAGCTGGTTATAGAGTTCATAGATGCCTAATAGTACAATAAATTAACATATTATGGTTGGCCGTGCAATTCTTATTTGAAATTCAAACTGTTATTAATCATTCGCGAGTTTTAAACTAAAAATAATAGTGTACTAATTTTTTACATATACCTACTATCCTTTTAAATTTTTGTGCTGCCTTTTCTTTTGACTGTCATAATTTATATGACACTCATAAAAATGGTCCAGCAAGCTACCTGCGGTACCGGTGATACCGGTACCAATTACAACAAATTACTATTGCAATTTTAAGACTTGACGTAAACGGGTTCGGGCCTGAATAAAAAAATCGTGGTTTCCCTATATGCATATCTTTAAAATAGTTAGGCAACAAGTATTTGTAAAATTGTAGTCTGCCAAAAAGTTAGATATTATTTTTATTAATTCTAATTTAGCTATACTAGATGGCGTTGTTACATTACTTTATGGCCACATTGCATTATGGCCTCAATCAATCGACAGAGATAAAACTTTATTTACAGGCGTTATTCACGATATCAATGGAAAATGCCTCAATGATTACAAAGATGATACAATAACATCCTATTAGGTCTGCGTACAAGACATTTTTAATTTCCAATATATATATTATTGTGAGACAACTTCGTGCTAGATTTTTAACTGTGGTGTAAAATATTTTTATTGAAAGCACATTGCAACGTTGGGAATATTTGAACCCTACAGTGCAGTGGTAGAGCCACGCAACAGCTTCTGCTGTTGCACAAATGGGCAGGCTCATAATTGGAAGTGGGAAGTGCCACGGCCTCACAGAAAACCGGCGTGAAGTGAAAGTAAGTGAGGTAGCCGGGGCCCGCATTTTTAAAGGTTGTCAATGCATCAGCGAACCATCGGGGCTTGCAGATGTCTATGGACGCGGTATTCATTTAACATCAAGTGAACCGCTTGCTCGTTTGAAAACTTTGACGTAAAAAAAACAGAGCCAAAAACATGGTTAAAGAAACATTTAATATTACCTATCACAACTGCTACGTACTGCAGTGGTCTGCATGCTACATAGTATCGTTGCCTCTTTGAGTAAGTGTTCCGTGATCGTTGCTTTTCAGGTTTGACACTTCTGACAGTCAAACAGATAAAAAAGGCAAATATTTACGTACATAAAAATATTCTTCTTTACTTATTTTCTAAGAAAATAAAAAATTCTTTGAATGTTTGTCGTATGTGCAATCTTATAAATATACCAGGAAAATAAAATCATTAATATTTATCTCCAAATATTTCGTCATGATATCGTTTGTTTTGATGTCAAGAGAACATACGAATAACTATTTCGGGTAAATAATTATAATAATTGTTCTAAAATGGAAGGAGGTCTCTGGAGAAGTAACATTATAAATCAACTTCAATCAAGAAATAGAAGGGAAACAACTGCATTTCAAGACATAATCACATTTCGTAAGTAACATAACCTCTTGTTCTCTTTGTCTATATGTATACTTATTGACACTACCTTTTTTACAACAAAGTAAACTTCATATCATATTAGGATTTATTAATTACGACTTAACCTATTAGCTAAAAAAGAAGACTAGTATCAAAGATTCCTTTTTTTTTACAATAATAACCACTAAACTAGTTAACTTACTTTCTAACTGTATATTCATATGTTGAAACAACTGATTTTTATTTATATGTATGTATATTTATCACATTTAGCTGATGACATGAGTTGGCTTGAGTTGGAGATAATTTTTTTAATGATATAATAATCTTTTTCCTTTTCATTTTCCAGAAAGCAGACTGTTTGATAATGTGAATACATTAAAAAATGAAAACCTTCAGTTAACATTACTTAATGAAAGGATCCGATATACAAGCACAGAAAGTGTGCTTGCTAATGCAGGTACTAAAATCACTGATTACATTGTTACTTTAATTATGCATATATGTTTTATCATTTCACTCTGTAACATGTTATTTATAAATCTCTCACCTCTTTAACATATAAGTATTTTACAAGATTAAAAATGAAACATTGTATCAATCAATTGTAGGTTTGATTTTTTTGAAATTTAGTTTCTTTCCTGGTAAAATGCTATCAGGCCCCATTTAGCAGAGAAACGCAGCTTATATAATTATCATATGGCCTATATAAATCATGTAGCAAATAAGGAAATATATGTAGTATAATATAATAATTTAAATATTTAAAGAAATAAACAAAGACACACATGGATTTTTGATAAACTTTTTGAATATTAAAATTTAACATATATATTATAATATCATATATTATTTATCAGTTTTTTAATTTGTTGGGATGCCATAACTTCTTTAATTATTATTCATCAAATTTGATGATGCAAAGACCATTACTTAACTTTGCCGCTATTGACAAAAAAGTAGACAAATTGATTAAAGTTAATATGTTTGTAAAAAAAACTTTTGTAAAGAATGTATGATAAAGCTGTGTATGGACAATTTGTATCTATGAAAGACAGCAAAGTTAACTGAATTATCTGGAATTTTACAATAAGATACCTTTCATTGATAATACGTATTTACACATGTATTTACATACATTATTATATTAACCACATGTTAATATAACTATGACTGACCACAGTACTGTGTGAACATTTTGCATGTGTAAATGGTAAATCCATACTAATATTATAAATGTGAAAGTAACTCTGTCTGTTTGTCTGTCTAACTTTCACACCAAAACGACTGAACCGATTTAAATTAAATTTAGTACACAGATAGTGTAGAGCCTGAAAAAGGACAATTTTAATTGGAAATAAGTGTTGTAAGGGTTTCAAGTATCTCTCTTTAAATAAATATGTATATTTTTTAAAGAAAGATGTTTATTTAAGGGCTTCTATGTGAGCGAAGTTGTGGGCGAAAAGCTACAATACCATAAATAACCATAAGTGTAAGCCACTACCCTCAACTACCTTATTTATTTGAGCTAAATAATAATAACACTATTGAATAATTTAATGAATACAACCAACTGATGAAATTATCAAACCAGTTTTTCAATTAAAATACTTAGATTTTTTATTAGATTTTGTAAATTTTATGAAAAATATATATTAAAGTCTTGCTGTTCTAGGTATTTAACATGTAATTAAATTTAATTGGATATAAAACATTCACTTCAGGTGGGGCCAGTAATGAAAGAATTCAAGCCTTAGAACAAAAAATACTGGCACAGCAAGAGGAATTGACCTCATTGCATAGAAGGCGTGGTGAAAGTGCTCAACAAATAATTAATTTAAATGCAAAGGTACATGATCAGGAAAAAAGTCTACAAGCCAAGGATATTATGTGAGTGCTACTAGTTGATAAAATGAGTGTTTGTTTTTCAATATGATATAATTGAATTAACTCTTTTCCCAGAAAAATATTAAAATTCACCATTCATATCTTGATGACCCGATTGGCATAATGGGTAGTGAACCTGCCTCTTGCGTCATAGGGTGCGGGTTCGATCACCACTTCTGGAAAAATATCGTGTGTTAAACATAGCTTTTTGTGGCCGGAGCCCAATTTTCAAAAGGTTGTCAATGCATCTGCAACCCTCTGGTTTAGCAGATGTCTATGGGCGGCAGTATTCACTTAACATCAGGTGAACTGTCTGCTCGCTTGGCAACTTTTCACATAAAAAACAATGAAGAATGTTGTCTAAAAATGTGTTCTAAAATATTTTTTATTATTTGCCTAATTATGTTGAAATTAATTGTGTGAGTATTCATTTATGATACAATAAATTTAAACTTAATTAATAGTAAATTTGTCAAAAAATTGCCATTATATTATAATTTTTATATGTATCTCTTTTTTCTATGTGAAAGGCAATTGTATAAACTGTTCTGATGTTAAGTAAATACTATCACCAATGGACATCAACAGCACCTGAGAGATTGTAGATGCATTGCTAATCCTTAAAAGTGGGCCCTGGTTGCCTCACTCACCAGACCGGACATGAAAGTATGTATAATACTTTCACTTCATGCTGGTTTTCAGTTAGGCCATTGTTTGTCTCCAGAGGAACCTGTCCATTCATGCAACAGTAAAAGCTGCTGAGAGTTGAGAGGCATTACCACAGTAAACCCACCACTTAAATAGTTTCTATTGCTTTACAATTAATCAATAATTAGGCTTTATGGACTTGTCTAACATGTTACTAATTTTTTTTTATGTAAGAAGATGGCCCATGAGCTGGCGGTTCACCTAATATTAAGTGATAACCACCGCCCCTGTAAATTTGCAACACCCGTAGGGTTGCAGATGCATTGCCACCTTTTAACGCTGTGGGCCCCAGCAGCCTCACTCACTAGAGGAAATGTAGTAGTATGAAACTTCCATTTCATGTGGAAAAGTAGTTCAATAATAATAGTACAATTTAGTAATGGTATCTTAAAGATAGTCAATGAGCAAGAATATATTGTTAAGTGACAATTACCATATAAATTAAAAATAATGAAACCATTTTGCTGTCTCATATGGCATTGTTTTTAGAATTTCAGAAAATACTGCATTAATAGCATCATTACGGGCTGAAATACAAATGTATGAAACTAATATGGTGGAACTACAAGGTCTAAATCAAATGTTAAGAGATGAACACCAAGCACTGCAAATTGCTTTTGCAGCAATAGAGGAAAAATTAAGAAAGGCTCAGGTATGTACATATATTCATGCATTTAAAATAAAAATATAGTTCATAATAAATTCATTAAAAACATTATTTTAACAAACTGATTAATAAAAGACTATTAAACCAAATATGATTTGATAAACTCCTTACATTCCATGTGCTAAACATGATGCTACTTTTGTATTGACACTGACTTGAAATTATTATTTCGAAGTAAAATAAAAATAAAAATTGTAAAAAAAAAGAAATAAAAATCAAAAGTAGCAATTTTGTTTATGCCCTGCATATTATTATCGAACTAGCGCCGTGTTTTGATCGCCTGCCCATTGCATTGATTCTCAGCCCACATAATTGTTTCGTACACGGGTTTCCAAACAAAAGTCAATTGTGTATTCCTCACCTAATTATTTACCGGCATAAAAACCGTTGCGTCGCTCGCTCCGTCAACGCTGACACATGCCGCTGGAAACAATCCCACTATCCCACTGGAACTTCGGATTTTTATTGCATCATTGGATTCGTGGCAATACGCCAAGCCGACTCGAGGATTTGTCCATCATATCCAGCGTGATTCTTATTTTTAATCGTAAACAAGCAACGCAAACTTTCCATCGCGTCGATGATTTATTGATTCAGTTGTGTATTTTTGTAATAGTTCGGTTATTAAATGTTGATACACCTTAACAATATAAAAATATTATAGATTTCGCACAATTTAATTTAAATTTTTATATTTTTATTCCTTCATTGTATCACAAATTACTTTCTGCCGAGTCTCAAGAAAAATTAGAAATTTTCAAATATTATGTAAAATCTCAGTAGTTAAATTTAATTTAGTCATTCTATTACCCTTATATTAACTTTTACTGTGTTTATTATCCGTACGACACTTATGTGTGCATGTACCTTTACTTTAGTACATTTGACAATTAGTTAATTAGAATGACCATTTTTAGAAAATCAATGTTTCATTCCATTACCACGTTAATTAGCGATGTGTTCTATGCCGTAAACTGTAACACCCCGTATGTTTTACGGCTTTCATGTGATTATCGCTGTGTGTATCAAATGTTTATGCATAGGCGTGGTATATAGCAACCCTCCATAATATCACAGAGCTCAGTCGATATTTGGACGCCGAAGTGTGCATACCAAGCTTCAATATTCTTAAGAAGTGTGTGTACAATTCAATATAGCATAAAACATATAATGCGAAGGCAGGTGAGCGTTTGCTCTACAAATATTTTCTTTTCATTGCGAACTAATATGATCAGAGATTTAATCATTTCGTTGCAGGATGAAAATCGTACTTTAGTCGAGCGACTCATAAAATACAAAGCTAAAGACGCTGACAAAATGAATGAGGAGAATGAACATTTTCTCAAGTAAGTTTGGGTTCCTAGCACCTGTTGATAAAGTGATTGACATTTTACAAATATGCTTGTAATAATAAAGTACTGTCTTATTCTTATTTTTTATATTATTTGCTTTTATGATTAAGTAAAACAGGTTTTTAATTTCTAAAAGATATGTTAAATTATTTTTTTACTTGCACATCGATAATTTTTGTGTTAGCCTGGGGCATTTGGACACTGATTTAACTCATTGTTTAAGTTTGTAAGTAATTTTATAAATTTAGTGAATGTTGCATTGTAGTTAATAAAAATTGTTCTATTCGCACCTGCACAGTAGTCACTTTTTTCGTTCATTTGTCATGTGCTGAAAAACTAAACATGCGTAAAAATTTAATGAATTAAAATGTATATATTTAAAACATAATCTATATTCTATATATTTCGTATCACTTAGAATGTGAATATAGACATGACAAATGCTATTATGGATTTTAGATTTAGTAGACACATACATGTTTGATAGAATGGGTTTTGTTTTTGCGCGGCTTTAGAGCTTGCATAATAGTATTTGTGATTTTTTTGTTTGCTTTTTTTTTGTTTTAATTTTTTCAACAGGTCAAGCAACCCTACTGCGTTTTTCATCAACACCTTTGGTAGAGTTAGTTTCGGGTGAGTTTGACATAATGTGAATGAGAATGTGGTGGTTTTACGGCATCGTGGCGTTTTTAGGGCTGCCATTGAATTCCCTTTCCATGATAACGGCCCATGTTTCCCTATGTCTTAACTGCACTCTGGAACCGATTCATTTTTAATTTTTCCTATTTCATTGTTTCTAGCGGTTGTTTTTTTTTTCTTGTTTAATCCGTTTTATAGTTTGTTTTTCACTGTTAGTTTTAGTTTTCCCACCAATCACATAGATCTCTAACAAACTATGTGAATATGTTTCGATATAACTTTGCACATATCTTAATTTTTCCCTAAGTTGTTTGAATTCCTTATGTAGACTTTTATAAACATTAATATCAGTATGTTTTCGCCAAGACAACACCATTCAATTTTGAACACGACCTTTATATTGTTAGTGCATAAGTATATTCTGAATTGTATACCTTTAGTAGACTAGTTTAAAGTCAATGTAAATATGTATGCTAAGAGCTTATATTTTACGTTTGTGCATTTATACCCGCAGATTTATAGCTGTCTGCATTTGCCTCTTTAACAATTTGGTTTTAGTGCTCACATTAACTATCGCACTTCTTATATCCGAGACTTGTAAATATTATGTTACGATTTGTTTACGTAGGATTCGGACGAGTCTTGTTCTTATTTCATATCACATATCATTACAATAAAAATGGTTCCTTCACTGGGTTTTCGGTGAAGAAAAGTCAACGGTCGTTTTAATTTTTTTTCGTGCTAGCTGGTCTGTCTGAATCTGTTCTGCCATTTCCCATACCAGGACGGACTTTGAAAGACGGTAGATTTTGTGGACGAAATGTGTTTGCCAAAGGTATAAAGTCCTTGTAAATTCAATGCCTTGTAATATAGTCGTCTACTATATAATTATGTCCATTGGTAATATTCAACTTTCAACCACATTTTGTTGGTATTTAAACATAACTGAAGTATATTTGTTTACTTAATATTTTTATCATATATTTTTTTTATTTTGGGACCATTTTTGCATGTGTATGCAATTATTTTGTTATGCATTTTTTTTTGTTTTATTGGCATGTTTGTTGCATAATAAAATTCAGGTACGCGCCGATTCCAATCATTAATGTATCCAAATTTTTGTTGGATTCTTAATATTAACATTGCGGCCCATAAAAATACGTTCAAACGACGCAAAACTCAGACTGTGTAGCCAGAAATAGAAAGTGTTGTTGTAACCTGTTTTTTAGAAACATGTTATTGTTCCTTTTTAGGTATTGTTTGTGTTGTAAAAAAAAATGTTTACTTTTATCGGACCTATCTGTGAATAATCCGTCGAATCTGTAATGAATGTACCTTAGAGGTTATATGCGTGTATATTCTAATGGTAAAACGTTGGAAATTAACATATACATATATTATTTATATACAGGGAGATATTTTGAGAAGTGCCCAAATTTACACAGGAGATTCAGACTCGGTGGTATAATCGTTTATTGAAATAAAAAACAGTTTTTTTTTCCAAAAAAATGCAATTTACTTTGACTTTACTGTACACGAACTTGTGTGCGTGTTAGTTATGAATGATAACGCGTAAAATAAATGAGTTGCGTATAAATCATGCACCGTTGGAGATAAGTTTAAATGAATGTAATCAATTACTTACGAGTGATTTTAAATATTTATCATTTTTTATATAACATTATTTATGTCTATAATTTAATAAAAAAATGGATACACATCGAAAATCCATCCTGTATAAATATTTATTATTCGCTTTAAGTTATCTTTACTGAAGTACATCAATTCCAAACAAATTCCAAATAATTGTATCACACTCTAGAAGTTGATAAAAAAAGGTATTATATTGTGCTTTTCTCCATTTTAAATGATTGTTCCCCCCCTTCTTACCTCAAAAACAAATTCTTATATCTCTCCTCATCTCATGATAGGGTACTCGGTCGTCTTACACGAATAAATTATGCATTCCAGCGCACTTTACCGGGTTCTCTGTTAACTCCTTTACTATCCAAGCTATACATCTTTGGAACTCCTTGCCCGATAACGTAAGAAACGCAAAAAGTAAGACATCTTTTAAAATACTGGTTCGTGAACACCTGTTAAAGACAAATTCGTCCTAAGAATGGACTGTAGTTAAAAGTAGAAGCTAATTGTTATTGTTCTTGCATCTTTGCTTCACCTACCATAAACTCTCACCACGTCCTGGGTTGACTGGTAAAGAATGCCTTTGGGCATTAAGTCCGCCCTTTGTTACCTTGTTTTACTGAAGGTTGGCAATAAAGATTAAATAAATAAATAAATAAAATAAATTATATTGCTTAAATTAGGCGAAGTTCGGATTTAATTATTTTGTTATTAAGTAATGTCCATTTTATTATAGTAAAAGCGATTAAAAGAAACAGTTATTCATACAACATTATCTCCAACAAGACAAGATAAATACCAATAGGAGGTCTATAGGAGATTAGGGAAAATTTCAATATCATTGCATGGCCTTAACATGTTTTATTTTGAATTTGGCGTTTGGATTCAGCATTTCTTTTGCAGTGGCGGCAGGTGGATGCTTTTTCATGGCCTTTCAAGCGCTGCGCCAAGGATTTGCTTATGGCGGTTTTTAATGGACTTTTTTATATTGGCTAGTGAGGATAGTAGCGTACGCTATGATGTGGCATTCCTTGTGCTTTTTGCAGGAAGAAGAGCGACAAAGTCCGAAAGGAGTTGGAAGAAGCGGCGAGAGAAGGAGGCAGCAGAAGTAGCGGTGGTTCCGGTGGCAGCTCCGAGGAAAAGATAATGGAATCAATGCCCTATTATGCGGCGACACTGCCTACTAAAGTTGCTTTAAGATTTGTAAGTTTATTTGTTTGTTGTAACTGTTTGTTGATATGCCTCTCTTTCTCTCTCTAGCTGTCTCTCTCCTATGCAACGATTATTCCCATCTGATGGTGGGGTCTGCCCTACTTGGTCTTGCGCTTCAACTTCGCTCTGACAGACGACCTTCTCTGATCCACAACCACCGGGTTTTGGGTCGCCCTCTGGGTCTAGATCCCGGAATGTTCAGATTGTTCACAACATTTCGTATGTAAAAGTAAAGTAAATGTACCCACTGCTGGGCACAGGCCTCCTCTATACAGAGGGTGGGGGACTTCACATATCTTTGAAATATTTGTTTTGTTAGTATTTCGAGAATATGCAGGTTTCCTCACGATGTTTCTTCACCGATGAGCACGTGATAATTCAGCACTTAAAATTAACAATTTCATTGGTGCCGGCACCGGCGATCGAACTCAGGTTGCTCGAGTATATCAAATTAAAGTTGAGCGCCCGGACACTGAACTATCACAACTATGTACTCTGGAGGATTTCTTTTGACATGCCTAAACCGGCAAAGCCTGATTCCTTGGCGCTTGTCGGCGATATCACGAGCTCCCAGACTACCGCGAATGTGTTCATTGCGTATCTTGTCGAGGCTGGCCAACCACACACACATCCAGAGCATTTCGATTTCGGCTACCTGCGTGGAGTGAACATGGCGTTTAGTAATGGTCTAGGTTTCACTACCGTATGTCAAAACTGGCCTGATGATATTCTTGTAATCGAGTTTCTTGAGTTTTACTCACATTCTTCGGTCGCAGGCTACCACAGTACAATATTTTGTCTTATAATATTACAATAAAAAATACGTCATATATAAAAAATTTAATACAACAGGATTGATCACCATGTCCATATTTTCGCAAATAGCCCTAACTATTTATATATTTCGCATAGAATTACAGCCGCCAGAAATAATGTTTGCAGAATTTTTGATTTTAGTTATTATACTTATAAATTGATATAATGACTTTAAAAACATATTTGTTTAAGGACGCCCACGAAGGAGAAGTAAATGCAGTCAAATGGAGCCCCACAGATCGTATAGTAGCAACAGGAGGTGCTGATAGAAAAGTTAAACTTTGGGATGTTTCGAAAAGTAAGTATTCTCGTTTTAATAAAATTAAAGCAAATAAAAGTTTAGTGTGGAGTGTGCCCCATCTTTTCGATATCACGGCTTGCATTCGTCCGGTCATGCTAAAGTGTATACAGCGTGTCGTTACCATCGCGACAATAAATGAACACACGTCTAACGCTACTTGCCAATAATCATAAAAAAATATTAACGTTAAACAAACTCGCGCCACAGCGTCGTATTACAAGCCTCTCCTTCTAACAGTATGTTTTTTCTCTTTTAAATTCATTCAACCCATTCATATGTTTTGTGACCTTTACAAATGAACTTTACGTTACGCTTTTGGTAGGATGTTCTAAAATTCTTTGTTTTGAAAAATTTAATAACTCTGTAAATATTGATGTTAAAGAATTAAATGTTTAATACAACTTTAAAAAATTATCCCCTATATGTGTGTTCATTTATTGTCGCGATGGTAACGACACGCTGTATATCTCGGATATCAAGATTATTGCCAAATACGATTCCATTCCGCAGTCATCTTATTTACCTCTCTTTGGTCTGTGGAGCCGGCTACGTTGTGATCTCACTCGTCGCTTCACAACGTTCCTGATTTGCTACGAATTCGAGGTCTGGGATTGAGCTGGTCATCATCATCCATAAAAATGGATGTTCTCATCCATAAAAAGTGAGCTATTGCCAATAGATAGATGCAAAGGCGGTTTGTCCGTAAGAAATCAGCCGGCTCTCACCTGCATCACGCTGACATCATCTCTGTAGAAATAACTGCTATTCATAATTCCTTCAGTGGGAAACCGGGTTAGGGTGAGGTTGTGTTCGTGAATTCTTGTCATGCATTCGAGTGCAACAATCTAACTACGAGCGAACCAATAAAAGATAAAATAAATCACCAAACCGAAATTCGCATCGTTTTACGCAATTAATGATACACTAACATTTAGCGGGGCAAGACAGAAAGTGATTTGGCTACTTACTCGAGTGAGATTATCGAGGGGGACAATACGGGGTGTCGATGCGTTCGTTGACTTGCACAATTTTTTTTTATGTAGTGAGAATGTGGCGAACTAGTTGGCGGTTCACCTGATGTTAAGTTATAACCGCCGCCCATGGACATATGCAACACCAGTAGGGTTGCAGAGGCTACCTCACTCACAAAACCTTTAACTCTTCCACTTCACTCGGGTCTCCTATGAGGTCGGAGTACTTACCCGGATGGACCTGCCCATTAGTGCAACAGCGAATAATGTTGCGTGGCCCTAGCACAGTTGACGCATTTAAATTTACGCGCGGCCTGTACTCCTTTTGAAAGGAAATTAATCCCAGTAGGTACAGTCGAAAGCAGAGGTGCACTAGTGGGCTCCAACGCGGGCGTGATGTCCGTGGACTTCGACTCAACTGGTGCGTTCATCGTGGGCGCGTCCAACGACTTCGCGAGCCGCGTGTGGACAGTCGCCGACCAGCGGTTGCGGGTGAGTTGCATTCGGAATTACTACTTCGCCAAACCTACGATCGATCGTAAACCCAGAAGGACATATATGTACCTCAGAGCCATACAATAGTAACTCCACATTTTCAAAATTATTTTTCTTACACTATTGAAATCTCTGGAACAAAATCTACACAGTAGTATAAAGCATTAAGTCCTAAGATGCCTGATTAATAAAACATCCAATCGTATATGACATCATAATCAATAATGCATCCAAGGATTCGCTTTGTCACAATGCTGTTTACCTCTGAGGTACAGATATGTATAAATCCTAAACGTTTAACTTATTAGCGGCTTTTTCCTCTTGCCCCTTCGCAATAAAATAGTCAATGTTTACGGAATATGAATGTAGGATTTATTAATTAATAGTTTTGTATTAATGGTTTCGAACGGAGTAAGAGATGATTTTTTAACAAAACATTGTGTGAATAAGAAGGATTAATGACGTGATGGAGTTTTTACTCTCTCGTAACGACGCCACGAACGAATAATGTGTTATCTCTGTGTAAAATTTATTAATTTCAATAAAGATAAATATTTATAATAGATAAATATTTGGAATACACTCAAAATAAATATTTCATACATTCCACGCCTACATAAATAGTAACTTTTTTATTCCTGTGAGCATTATTTATTAAAAGTGACCCAGATTCATTCTGCCGGTGCTAGTGTAAAAAATTAAAAACGCACACAGACAAACAAACTGTTTCACAACATTATTGCGTCTTATTATCAATCAAATTATTATTTTTTGTAATGTCCAAATAGGAATATAAGAAAGAAGGAAAATTTGAATATATTATTGGGTAAAGCGAGAACAGAACCAATAAAAGCGACATACGCGTACATTAATTGGGAGACTATTCAGAAAAAGTTAGCCATGGACGACAAATAACAACGTACCCTAACTTGGCGGTGATAAATAACATTTAAAGGTCTTATTTGTGAAGATTTAATGAAAATGGTTTAAGAAATAGTAAAACCTTAGTTTGGGACTTCTTTGCTCACCATCAATTTTGCCGTTAGGAATTTGATGTAGCAGCACGGCAATACGGCAATACAAAAGTTACCGATTTGTTTCATTCCATCAGCTTCGCATGTTTGGTTCCACCGTATCTAGAAAAAAAATTGGTCTTTAAGCTTCTGTTATTCTGTAGTTCAACAAGGAACAATCTACCCGATTGTTCCTTGTTATCAGTTTGTTTACCGTATGTGCGAACTCCATAATGTATATTTATTTAAAACTTTTACTCACCAATAATATTATCACATTTTCTATCTAGCTGAATTCGTACATCTAACTTATATGCTCCAAGTGTTCCCGCGATGAATTCTTTATCGCGGCTTTGAATATTTACTTGCATACGTGCAAAGAAGTTTCACTTAAAAATAAACCCAACTATTGATGGGGAAGATTTTGGATGCTAACAGCATCAGCTTCGAATGGTCTAATCAATGAAATTAGATCCGAGTTCAAGCGCTTTTCTACTGTTGTTAAGTATTCAAATGCAAGGCACTAATTTTCGCTTTAATTATTTTTGAAAATGGCCCAAATTACTATACAAGTAAACCAATAGGTTTACTTGTATAATAATTTGGGCCCTCATCACAGGTAACCCTCATCATAGTTGACACTGTGGACAGGAAATACACCGTCGGGGGTCCCGCCAAATAATACTACACACTCAGTTAGTGCATCAACAAACACCATAGTTCGTCCTCGCCTTCGAGCACGGCAAAACCAACACAACGCGTACACCAGGAACACCCGCGTTCCAGGGCGGCTCTCACCACCCCCAGCCCGGTGGCTAAACAAGCACAGTCAACGGCCATCGGGGTCACGGTCCTCACCGAACCTCAATGGCCCGTAGGCGAAACGTCACAACTAACGCACGCATGAGTACATGCCAAGCCCTACCCACTGAGGAAGGCCTCAAACTCGTGGGTTCTGGCTAGCCCACCGGTTCTGCGTTCGATGAAGCTTTTATAGTCTAAGGCCTGAAAGCGTAACATCAGTTTCACAAACAAAAACAAAAAAAACATTAATCCTCAACGGTAAGGCCGCAGCGGTAGTAACGCTCGAAACCTTGATAAGGTAGGTAAAAATAGTTTGACGGTGTTTAAAAAAGATTAAAAATTATGTGTCATAAACATTGCGCGAAGCTATATGAGAATGAAATTAATATTTTAAATTCGTGTTACTTACTGATGAAAACTGTATTCGCTTCAAGTTGGATTATTTATATTTGCTCAACCTAAATGGTTTTAAAACATTCAAATCAATTAAGACGTCAGTACGGAAGTGATCTTTTTGGTGTTAGAAGCGACACAATGGATATCCTGACCTTTATTGAAATATAGTAACCTTTTTAAAATTGGCGTATTGCCATCTTGACGTATGAAAAGCGAAGCTTCTGATAGAAGAATAATAAGCCTGTTACAGAAATAGAGTCTGATGCGGAAATCGAGGTATTACTTTTAGCGCTTATATACTTACGCCCAAAAATGTCCAAGCAGCTTCCATAAATCACCGTATTTTGGAAAAAGTTGAAGCAGATGAGGTCTGGTCTGGTCCATAATTATAGTTTTTCGAATTTTTAGAGTTTTTTATCTCTCTTTTTGTACCCATAACATCGTTCTGAAAGTAGGTATTCGGATTACTTGAAACTAACCTCTCCAAAACTATGTAATGAAATCCACCTTCAAGTGATGTCGATTCGAAATAATATTATAGAAGTCGAAATTCTTAAGGGCTGTGGAGCTGGTGAATTGAAAACGCAAGATGAGTCACGTCGAGTTGCCGGTATCGATCTCAGAAGGAACTGTTGAATAACTATATTTTGCTTGCTCACGTGTCACTGGCTCTAATAATTAACTAATATTATAAATGTGAAAGATTGTATGTATGGATGGATGTTTGTTACTCTTTCACGCAAATACCACTGAATGGATTTTAATGAAACTTGCAATAATATAGCTTACACATCAGATTGAGACCCAGGCTATAATTTATATGCATATTTTATGTACATTCTGTCTGAATGTTACGCCATTTTTAATTTAATTTTCCGACGTTTCGAACCCTTTACAGCGTTCATGGTCACGGGACAGACTGAGGTGTTAGACGTCTGATTGTCAAAGTTATCCCGGGCTACCGTCAGTTTTTGTATTATTGATTTTGTGTCCGATCTATGCAGTGGGAGCTAATTGTATCTTGTCTTGCAGTAGTGGTTCTTTTGGGCTTAGATTTAATTTTATTGATGATAGGATCCCAAGCTGATGGTAGTACCCAACCCTCTTCTCTATTGAAATTAGGGTGTTTTTTAATTTCAATAGCCTCGCAAATCATCCTTGGGAGGAATCGGTGTTCTTTTGCAAGGATCTGTGGTCTATCAAACCTGATCTAGTGGTTGGGCCGATTTAGAGTGTGCTCACAGACTGCAGACTTGTTTAATCTACTATGTTTTATGTCAGCTATATGTTCTTTCACGCGGGTTTTTATAGCTCTTTTGGTTTGTCCTATGTAAGAGAGCCCACATTCACAGTCAAGTTTGTACACTCCTGGATCTTGCAGAGGGATATTACACTTGACAGATGGTAAAAAACTGACTAATCTTCTTCAGCGGCTTGTAGAATGTATTAATTGAAGCCCGCTTTAAGATATAGCCAATCTTGTCGGTGACTCCTCTGACATATGGTAGAACAGCAGGTACTCGCTCCACTGTGGCTGGTTTCACTCGGTCACTGTGACGTAGGCGCGGTGCTCGAAGTTTGTTGTCATGCAGAACTTGCTTGACATGTTGAAGCTCAGCGGCCAGGTGTTGTTTGTCACAGATCCCTTGTGCTCTCTGAAACAAAGATTTACCCACGGTAGCTAACTGGGATGGATGGTGGTGAGAGTCACCGTTTAGGTATCTATTTGTATGGGTTGCCTTCCTATACACAGTGTGACTTATAGTGTTATTTGGATTGCGGATGACCAAAACATCTAAGAAAGCTAAAGAGTTATTATTCTCTAATTCCATAGTGAATTGTATTTTGGAATTTACTGAGTTAAGGTGATTTAAAAATGCATTAACTTTACTTGTTGGTAAAATGGTGAAGGTGTCATCTACATACCTCTTATAAAACCTTGGATAAATGGGAGCTGTGCGAAGGGCCTTCTCCTCAAAGTCTTCCATAAATATGTCAGCGACAATGGGAGATACTGGGCAGCCCATTGCTGCACTATCTATCTGTATGTAAAATTCCTCCTTCCAAAGCAAATAGCCGGATGTTAGGCAATGTTTAAGTAGTAATGCATACTCTTCCGGCATGTTATTCTCTTTTAGCTTCCTTGTTACAATTGAGATGCAGTCTTCTAATGGTAGGCATGTAAATAAAGACTGTACATCAAAACTGACCATTGTTTCATTGTCAGCAAGACATAGTTGTTTTTATCTCACTAACAAAATGGTACGAATCCTTTGTGTATGCCCGTGTGTGTCCTCTCAGCGGTGAGAGAATTTGTACTAGATGTTGAGCCAGTCTGTAAGTTGGTGAGTCGATCTGGCTTACAATAGGGCGTAATGGCAAGTCTGGTTTGTGTATTTTAGGCAACCCATACAATTTAGGGGGTTTTGCACATGAAGGTGTCATCAATTTCATGTCTAGATTTAATTTTTCGGAGTATTTTTTAATGAGATCGCTAGTTAATTTAAGCGTTTTAGTGGTTGGGTCTGTTTTGACCTTTTTATACGTGCTTACATCCGACAACAGTTCTTGTATTTTCAAATTATAATCCGACGTTTTCATAACAACCGTAGCATTTCCTTTATCTGCGCGGAGAACAGTTAAATCTTTGTTGTTGCGTAAGCTGTTTAACGCGTTAAATTCATCTTTGGGGAGGCTAGACTTCGGTACCGAACTTCGACGTAATAAAGACGAAATATCTTGTCGTATAGCTTCTAAATCTTCCTTACCGATATTATTTTTATATAGACAGTCCTCGACACTACAGATTATTTCTTCGTACGGGATTTTTCGCGGCGTTATTGCGAAATTTAAACCTTTTGATAACACCTTCATAGTAGATTCATCCAGTGTTTGTTGTGACAGATTAAAGACCGCGCGATGTTTATTATCTGTGTCTGTGGTCAACGGTTGCGTTTCGTTCATGCGTTGCGACGATCGTTTGGCATTTGATTTGTTGACTAATTTATGATATTTTTCAATAAGTTTATTTTTGCATTGCTTATATTTAGTTGTTTCGCGCTGATTTAATGTATATATGCAGTTTTGGTAATCAAAAGCCGTTAAAATTGTTTTAAGCTGACTGGATGAATTATCTATGGCAGAATTAATGACACATACTATGTACTTTCATTTTAAATACGATGCTACTCTTAGCTGTCCTTATTTCGAGAGGAAGCATTTTCCACAAAAGAATAGATCGGAAATTAGCTATATGAAAATAGTACTTATTGAAGAAGACGATTATTGTTTAAGCTTATATTATTATCGTTTACGGTATTAGGGTATTTCAAGTGGGGAGAAAAGTAAAATGGAGTGGACAGAGAAGTCGGGAAGGAATAAAGTATGGTCAGTGCTTTTAATTAACTTCTTTGTCGAATACGGAACTATGGGAGTTGTGAGCGATAGGAAAACACGTAATCTTACTTACGAAGATTAAACGCGAATCTAATTAAATTCAGAGGTCGGTTGCGTTTATTGAGGTGTTTTGCATTCAGATGAGTAATAATATAGTAATGATATTAAGTAGCACATTTTGCTATACTCGTAATATGTAATTAAGGTCAGCACGATCACTTTGCTTTTCGTAAGTACGAAATTCTTAAAGCCATAGGGACACTAGAGGGACACTCCTGACCCTCTAACTTGCATTTTGATCTTTCCAGTTTAATTTTCCAAGAGTAAAACGAGCTGTTTCACGTTTTTTGTTCATCAAAATGGGCGAGTTGTTAAATAATAAAGGTATATTAAGTACTTAATTACTACACTTTAGTTCACCTGCTGAAAGTTTGTTGATAACAATTTTTCTTTTATGTTATAAGGCGGCAAAGCAAGAGAGCAGGTGGTTCGCCTACATCAAGTTATTACAATCGCCCTGGGACATCAAAACTCCTGTGGGGTAACAGATGCTTTGCCAATCTTTAAAGATGTGGACCTCGTTCCCCTGCAATAAAATGCAAAAGTATAATAATGGGACTGACATATGCATATTTGTGTAAAAGTCCCTAAATATAATAATGAGAAAAAAAAAAGTGTAATACTTTCACTTCACGACGGTCCACACAACTGATTTTATTGTCACAAGCGGACCATTTAATTTAAAAAAGAGTTCTTTCGTCTGTAAAGTGCGTAATCATATTCTGTTTTTTTTTTTATTTGCGTAAAACTGAGTCGACCCAGACGACAAGGAAAAGCAGTTTGAAATTGGGCCATGTATAAAACAGGTTTAAATTTCGGTACTTTTATTCAACGAAAGTTGGTAGTTCTTTTTTTACATATGCTTCTTTATTATATATTGACATTCTTTAGAGATAAACCTAATTGTAGCGTTGTATGTACATGTATGTATATATTGTAATATTATTGACGCAATTTTGTCAACAGTGCCGTCACTACATAGTATAAAACAAAGTCGTACCGCTGTCTGTCTGTCCCTATGCA